TCAAAAATCTCCAGACTGTTCTCAGAATCTGTTCTGAGGCATCAGCTCACATTTCACACAAGCCGCATGAAACAGAAACTCTGTGAATAACATTGACTATCTTCCAGCAATAATACAGCTGTTGAAAGAGCTTAGTCACCCCGGCAGTGGATGCTGCTCTGAAAGGAAATGTGTGCACGCAGTAACCTGACATTTGACGATCTAGGACCAGGAAACAAAATAGAAGGGGTCGGAGCACAGGAGAGAGAATAGGAGAGAAAGATGCCTCTTATTTTAAGGCTAGTAGAAGAAAGCTCATTCTGAAACAGCTCATTGGTTTCCAGTTGTGTCGATACATATATATTTATTTAAAAAATTTCCAAGCCATCGATGGCAATATTGTGCACTATCTTCATCAGAGAAGGCAAGATATCAACTAAAACAAAGCTAACTTTAAATATCTAAAGATACGATCAAAACCAACTGGGTAAACATTCAGACCAAACTCAGGCAGTTTAACATTGAAGAGCCACCACCACCACCCTGGCCAGTATTATATAAGGGCAACCTGGCAAGTCTATTCAGTTTGCAAAGCAGAGGCTTCCAGCAAGCACTAAAAGTAACACCACTATCCCTGTTAATGGAATGTGTCTCAGGTTTTACCAAGAGAGCCTCAATAAATAATTCCAATAATTATCTTTTAAAGGGGGGGGGCTACTGTATGGATGCTGTACATAAAGGCTAAGCAAGCCCTAAAGCCAGATGTCATTGTCCCTGCCAGTAGTAGTTGCCCATTAATCAAAGTAGCAAGTAGTCCAGATGATTAGCACCTGAGAGAGAGCTTGGAATTAGCACTCATTAACTAGAGCAGGGGTGTCCAACCTTTCACCTTCCCCGGGCCACATTAGAAGATGAAAATTTGGTTTGGGCCGCACATACATTTGGTTTGGGCCGCATGGGGGGGGGCAGCCCTAGCCTTCCTCCGCAGCCCCGCTTCATGCGCGCTTACCGGCAGCTGCGATCTCAGACAGCAGGGGCTGCCAGCTTCGCCTCCGGCGGCTTTATGGGGCCGGGAGGGGGTCCACCTATTGACGGGGATGGCGCAATACAGCCACGCAGCCCCCCTGTCCCCGCCCCTCCCACTCCTTCCTTCCCTTTCTCCCCCTTTACTGTTGTGACATGCCCCGGCCACATTCCGGCTGCAAGCACCGGCAGTGTAACTTGAAACTTTGGAATTTCTTTAAAAATAAAAAATCGCACTGGGCCGCATTATGAGCTGACCTCCAAAGAAGATACAACTTTGTTGACGTGTAACTCAAATTTAGAGCTTTAGATTTGGCAATTAAACATGGCTAGTGTCCAAAAATGTAGCATATCTGTATCAAGGGTCTTTATTCTTTTGTAACATAAAACGAAAATCAATGGGTGTTTATTTCACAGACTAGTGATATGTATGTGCTTGCATTTTGGTATTTGTGAATGTCTCAATTAAACTTGTCTGACCCCACATGAATGCCCTGTGAAGTGTTTTGTAGGGAGTTGCTGAAGTTCCCAAGCTGAGGAGCTCTAATTGCTACAGAATAGGCATGTAAACCCTTGCAGTCATCATTTCCCTTCCATCACTTGTACATTTCCCCCTCTAGGGTGCGGGGACTGAAGAAGAGGCCTTGGTACAGCTGCATGATAATGAAATATAGTTCCTTTCCCTTGCTTTGAGCCCTTTGCATCACCAAAGTGTTACCATGTCTCCATATATAAGAACTACAGTGGTGCCTCGCTAGACGATGATAATCTGTTCCACTGAAATCGCTGTTTAGCGAAATCATTGTCTAGCAAAAAGCATTTCCCCATTGAATGCATTGAAACCTGTTTAATGCGTTCCAATGGGGAAGAAACGTCGTTGTCTAGAGACGATCGGCCATAGGAAAGCCCCTTTGCGAACCTCCGATCATCTGTTTAAATCGCTGTCTTGCGAAGCTTAGGTCCCGAAAACACCTGTTTTGCGAGCGCAGAGGGAGCTGTCAAAATCGTCGTCTAGCGGAAATTGGTTTGCGAAGCAGGGACCAAACATTGTCCAGCGAAATTCCCCTCATAGGAATCACTGTTTTGCAAATCGCTATAGCGATCGCAAAAAGCCAATGTCTAGCGAAAAACTGTTATGCGGGGTAACTGTCTAGCGAGGCACCACTGTAAAGAGAAGCTTTGCAGTAAAAAAAAATCAATCTGAAATCTAGTTTGAGCTATTAAAAGTATTATGATCCAGTAACTATATGATGGTCGCAATCTCTTGCTTGCAATTGTCTAACTTAAGGATGTGATTCTCATCTAGAATGAGGTTACTCATCTTTGGCCAGACTCTCCCTCCCTCCCATCCCACCCCCACCACTCTAACTGCAGCAGTTCTGTCTGTGTTTTCAGCCTAAACAACCCTTTGAAGCAAAATGGCTTATGAGGTAAAATTTAAAAAAAATGCTGGAAAATGTAAACTAATTTAAGCTTAAGCCCAATTCCTAGTATCAATTTATATAGACTCGTTGAATCAGTTGGATTTGTGTAATTGTTGACTTCTCTTTAGGACTGATTTAACAGTTGTAATCCTGTTGCACACCTTTATGCTGCACAACTCTGATTCCATCATCAGCCTTGGTTGTTCTGTGGGGAATCAAACACTCCCTCAACCCCCTTACCATTCCATGCATCTATAGGGATTCCTTTCATCCTGAGGACACATTTGGGAGTGGCAGAATGGAGGAGGGAGCTTCTTAATACTCCAAAAATGCTGGTGCCCGTTCTTGTAGCAGTGTTGATAGGCATTAAAAGAGTTCCCTCTGGAACCAGGGCATGTGTGTGGATAGGAAGCTTTTAATTCCCTCCCAACTGCCATGGCTGATGACATCATCACAGTTGTGTGATGTCAGGTTGCACAGTAGTCTTCTAGCCAATTGATATGTTCTAGTGCAGACTAGGAATTAGACTTAGGCTGAAAGCAGCAGCATACAATATCTGAATCTTCCACAGTTGTTGGTTTCAAGCAAAAGGGGTTGATATGACCCACATTGATTTAGGGAGTGACATATCTGTATCATAATTCAATATGGGGAAAGCGATGGGATTGTATGTCACAGCTTTAAAAACATGTTTGAGGAAGATGGAGTTGTTCTTCAGTTGCATTTAGGAATTTTGCCCAAAGAAAGGGGAACTGTCAATTTACTACCAGTGGTGCCCCTTTTCAGCTTTGCAGAAAGTGCATATGGCTCTCTTGACTGCAGATCACATTTTTGGTTATATTTTTAGCTCTTATGTTGTAGCCTTTTTAAAAGGATTCACAGAGTATTGTAAGCTTAAACTGTTTAACCACATAAATACACAAATGATCATGTTTAGTATAGAAGCATGTGTTTTATATCTTCATCTGGGACATGAAGATTGCATGTATTGGGAGGGGTGGGAAGAGCAGTTGGGGACCAACACAAAAAAGAAACACCTCCCTCTATGCATTATAAATAGCAGGTCTGAACCACAAAGTCCTTCCACGCCTTTTCCCAGCACTCTGGATGAGCGTCCCTCCACGTAATTCCAATAAAATTATAACTTTGAAACCAGTTATAGAGGTGTAGGCCAGCAGAGCTTCAAAGAAGTTGTCTGTCTTAATTCAGCTGGAAGTGAGGAGTGTAGGTTGTGCGCTGTAGGGGTCTATTGTCTTTGGCAGCTTTTGACATTGACATCTGGGACTAAAATCTCAGTAAATTGTTGCTTCTTATGTGCAGAACGTCTCTAATAATGCGCAACAGTATTGGACTTGAAGATGGAATACACTGATGCCAGAAGAAGCCGTGTTTGCAGTTTTTGCCCCCAAACTACCAGCTGTAATTTTAAGCCAGGCATGGGCATTCATAAGCATGAAATGTGCAGTTCAGGAGTCATGTCAAATCAATCAGTCGGTCTAAAGAATTAAAGAGGTGCTGGTGTATCCTGGATATAGGTACCAAGGTTGAATTTCCATTGAATGGTGAAGGAATGACCAAAGACTTTATTTCTCACTTAGCAGTAGTGACATGACAAAATCTGCTGCTTCCATGGATGACAAAAGATTATGGGCCCTTCAAACATAATTTGTTAGTTTGGCTTCTGCAACAAAAATACTTGATTCAGGACACCATTTGGAAGAAATACAATACTGTAGAAACCTAGGGTTGGGAATTTCACTTGTAGAACTGGGAAATAGTGAAATCATAGTCTTGCAATAACAGTTGGAATGGAAATTGTCAGGACCAACTTCTTAAAATGAATGATTTAGTATGCAACAAAAAATTAAAATGTATTTGGGAATGTTATTTGTACAATGTTGTGTATTCTTCATTCTACTTCATGGCTTGCAATTGTGGATTTTTAACACAGTCATGCATAAAAAATGTGTTGAGATGTGGCTTTATCACAGATGTTAAGATGGTGATGGTGGGGGGTTGTTTCAAGAACATGACCAGTAAAGTAGTAGTAAGAGAATGAATAAAGACCTGAGAAATCATAAAATATATAATATACCAAAATCTAGCATATTGCGGCCAGTTAGTGGGAAACAAAAAGTACAGTTGGTCATTTGTGGCAAAATAAATGGGAAAAGAAGTGTAGGAGGACAAGAACATTTTGACTATAAAAATTTGGAGACTGGTTTGGATATAACACATTATAATTGTACAAAGCTGCTGCATCCAAAATCAGAATAGGCAGTAGGAGTGGAATGAGAAGGAGAGTGAAGAATAGTGTAGTATTAAGGAAAAAGAGCTCCCTAAATTAATTGAATGAAGTAGCTTTTAAAAGAATTCATTCCAGAACTTTGAAAAACTTGTGCTTGGTCCCCCCACACACACACACACCAGCAAGTAATCTTTATGTATGCACAAGTTTCTAAATCAATGAATACAACAGGCTGTGTAGTACATCAGTTGTCTTCAGATGCTTGTACTGCTTTTCAGACTTTGCACAGTTTTTTCTGTAACTGATTTGATGTTTTATTCTTACAGAAGAAAATGCAGAGGTTACACTTGATGTGTCTTTGGCATACCGTGATGATATGACCAGTCCATGGGAAGAAATGGCACAGGCAGTGGAGACAAGGAAGCTCAAATGTACTTTTGGAGCTCTAAAAGTAAGTTTCTTTTGGTTCTCATGAGATATAGACAAGTTTTGATTCATCTTTGCCCCAATGATTACATAATGTTATGCATCTTTTGAACATACCATACTTGGTTTTGGTGGTTAATTATATCTGTAGAACATCCACAGCACCTGCTTGAGAAGATAGTTTTGAATTTGACAGTAGAAGGAATCAAGGAAACATAGCCATGTCGTCCCTTGAGGTCAGGATACATTTTTGAGTCTGTAACTCAAGCAATGTATCTTGTGCATTCAGAATCCTAAAACAATAGCCAAGAAGACACATATCTGAAACTTGGTTCTTCTGTTTTAACCCATAAGTGGGGAAAAGTTATCTTGTTACATCTATTCTCAAGTGTATAACTTCTGGCACTTGGCATAGAACTGTTGTAGAAGCAGCAAAAGAAAGTTTCATGCTAACGTTGTAGTTGTGAGACCACAACCATCTAATGTCCTAGACTCATTTTGGAGTGCCTGTGGATTTTCAATATATTGTCAACAGATTGTCAACATTGTGTCTCAAATCCTGTTGCTTTATTACGCAGGCGGGACAAATCCTCTCTCTTCCAGTTAGCAATTGAAGAGTTGCTGTTATGATTCCCAGGGGCATATGGCTTGGTGTGTCAGTTGGAGCCATTTGACTTCAGTCTACATAACAAAGCAACAGGATTTTCTCTTTCATGAATTGCAATTATGTTTTTCCCTTAATTGTTGTACCAACTCAACAAAAGTATAAAAGTGTTCCTTTATGCAAAGCATCGACTGTCAAGGGAAAAATATTAAATAAATGTGTCTTGTGTAGTTCCTATGTTTTATGCTTCCTATGGCAGAGAGAATTATTTGTTATTTAGTTTAGTTTAGGTAGAAGGATAAGGATAGAGGAGAAGAATATCTGTCATACTGGAAAAATGTAAATTTTGTTATGTGCACTTTAAATTTGTTGTTAATCGCATCTTTCTTTTCCCTGGTGGTTCCAACAGATTCCAGAGCATGAAGGCAGGTTCTATGATTGTGATGTACTTCCATTCATGGAGATTGGAACCGTTGCTCACAAATTCTACCTTGTCAACATTCGTCTCCCTGTGAACGAAAAGAAAGGCATCAACGTGGGAATTGGCGAAATAAAAGATCTCCGTCTTGTGGTAACTATACATTCATTAATTCATTTTGTGTCTGCTGATTTCTTTCTCTGTGGAAAACGCAACTAAATCCAAGTGTCCAAAACTAGTTTCATAGGGAATGTTAGTTACAAAATTGCAATCTTTTAACTTGTAATTCCCAGAGTGTATAATTAATAATGTTAATTGTTCTAATGACAGTAGATTCCATCAGAAGGAAGAGGTAAAGTTGTAAATGGGGTTTGCTTTAGTAAATTAGCATGCCAATCATCATGTAGTAATCCAGCTTAGGCAAAAAATGCATTTAAGCGTGCAGTCTAAACTGACCAGGAAGGCCAAGGGCTTGTGGCAAAAATGGGTCAGCAGAAGCTGCTGGATCCAAATCCATCTGAGTCTATAAATCTGAACGTTACTTAGGACTTGCCTTGTCCTGTCCAAAATTTGTGCCCTATTGGCTGGGTCCCTGGGCTGGAAGATGTTTGGATCTGGAGTAACATGGCTCTTACCTCTTGCTCTTCCCCTGTTTTGGCTCTTCTTCTGGCAAACATTAGCCAGCAGAGCTGTTCTGCCAGATTTCTGGAAAATTTCTGCTGGCAGAAGACAGTTAGAGGCCTCTGGCTACTCCTTCACTCGTAGTCAGTGCATCTGTGAGTTACAGTTGCATTGCCCATCGGTTCTCCATGGTATCTTAACCTCTTATTATATGCAAGGATGGAAACTGTGGGAACAGTTCGTAGAGGTAGCAGACATATGGAATTGTCAGGGATACTTTGTTATGCTTATTGACCCTATCCCCATTAAAATTGGCTTTTATGGGAGCTAAGCCATAGGTTATTGTAAGAAAGAAGTAAACAAAAACAAAGTTATTTAATTATTTAAAATATATTTACCTTACCTATCTCCTTAAAAAGGACCCAAAACAGCCAACATCTTTAGAAGATAGTACTTAAAAGCTAAAAACAGTAAGTGTGCAAATATTAAAAAGAATCAAAGAAATACCATACTAAAAGTGGAAAACAAAATTAACACCAAGAAAAGATACAAAGCAACGAGGCACAACACTCCATTTAAAAAACCCCTCCAGAGAGCCTAGTCACTAAGGAAAGCCTGTCTAAAGAGAAAGATCTTTGTCTGCTTGCAGCAAACGAGACTGCCCTCCTGTGGGAGGGAGTTCCAGAGTCTGGGAGCAGCAACAGAAAAGAGCCTCTCTTGTTTTCCTGTAGGGAAACCTGTGAAGGTGGTGGGACTGAGAAAAATGCTTCCCCCGATTATATTAACACTTAAGCAACTCATAAAGAGAAATATGGTTTGAGATAACTTGGACCCAAGTCATTTAGGGCTTTATAAGTTAAAACCAGCACTTTGAATTGTGCTGAGAACCAGCTCAACAGTCAATGGAGCTGCTGTAACAAGAAGGTTATGTGATCCCTGTTGAATCATGTTTGTTCACTGAACAAAAATAATCATGTTACAAACATCAGAATCTTCATTTGTATTCTACAAAGAGTTTCTAAATGTAATCTTTTAAAAAATAAATAAATAAATACAATAGTAATAGATATGCATGGCCAGTCACAGGCAGCGCTGAAGAAATCCCTGCTCTGCCTCCTTGTCTGAGTGGGCAGCTGCTGGAGGAGGCAGAGAAGGAAAGTCCATGCTCCTGCCAGGAATGGAAGATCACACAACAGGAAGGGAATGTGCAATGTGCACCTGCTGGTGAGGGGGAGGCAGGGAATGTGCAGCACTTGTGCCCATCTCTATTTGAGAAGTAACATCAAGCTCCATGTTTATTTATTTCTGTTTTCTTAAAATGCAGTTAGGGAGAAATGCAATTCTTACTTTGATCTCTATAGAAATTGTTACCAGCGTCATCAGTATGGAAACCTGTCTTCTCTGCCTAGAGATCTCCTACTTTGGTTTGGGCTGTAAATATTTTGAAAGCTCTAGCCATGTCTATATAACATGCCTTTCCATCTGTCTCTGCAGTTAAATCAGTCAACACTGACTAATCTGGTTGCTTCATTTCTTTGAGGGAAGCAGTTGTGACCAGTGCATTAATGTGTTGAAAAGGGTGGCTATACTGTATAGTGTAGTTAAAAGACCTTTTAATATTGCTTATCGCTTCAGACTTTTAGATAGACCTGTGTTTGGTTCATTTCTGAATTTAAAAATGTGTTGTTGATATATTAAGAACTTCCTTTATCTACTGCAGTTTGTTTCCCCATATGATGCCCCTACTAACCCAATATAGTTGTTCCAGCCTGTTGTTGTGTGGTGATTTTGGAAAACCGTTCTGATATTGACAAAGTAGAGAAATGTAATATGACCACCTGCTGTCACTTCCAGGGTATCCATCAAAATGGAGGCTTTACAAAGGTGTGGTTTGCAATGAAAACCTTCCTTACACCCAGTATTTTCATTATAATGATTTGGTACTGGAGACGGATCACAATGATGTCACGGCCACCGGTTCTCCTGGAAAAGTAAGCGAAGATAATCTAAGCTTTTAAAATTTTTATTTATTTATTTATTGTAGTTTGGAAAAAGGATGACATTCAAGTATGGTAGAATGCAGTGACTGCTTTTCCATTGGTTTATATTACCTTATATTGGCAATTTGTGCTGATCGTAGTAAGATATCTTAAACCTGGGTAAAATAACTGCCTGTTTAGTTAAGTCATACTTTACCTGTATAAAGTTCAATCTGAAATTTGATATGAGCACATTAAGCCTATAACATTCACATTCAAGGCTTTCTAGTGCAAGAGTGAAACATTTTGTGGCCTCCAAATATAGTTGGACTTCCACCATTACCAACCAGTATGACTAATGGTAAAGCCAGATGATGGGTTCTATACTCCAAAATAATCTGGAAGACTACAGGACCCCAACTATTGCCCCTAAAGCATTCTAGACATTCTTGTATGATGGGCCCTTGCAGACCATCCCATTTATATAAAGTTTTCAGTGCAGTAGACCTAAAACTGCTTCAGACAGGCTAGGGCAGTAGTTTCCTTTTAAGGTAGACCTGAGAGGCTAATCTTTGCTTGCTTGCTTGCTTGCTTGCTTGCTTGCTTGCTTGCTTGCTTGCTTGCTTGCTTGCTTGCTTGCTTGCTTGCTTGCTTGCTTGCTTGCTTGCTTGCTTGCTTGCTTGCTTGGGGCATGGGATAAACAGGGTGCAAATTAACATAAACATCTTAGAATACTCATCATCTGTTACATTTCATAGGTACATATGTTCCAGGTAAAACTTAGTTATGATATATATTCTATTCCTAGATTGATAATAGGCTTTCTATTATCAAATATTAATTCAGTAAAACCAATGAAATCTTATTTAGCCATCGATATCTTGACAGCTGCAAAAATTATCTTTGCTAAACATTGGAAAGTCCAGAGAATCCATCACAAGATGAGTTAATAGCAAAAATTCTGGACACGGCGGAAATGGATAAATTATCAGAATGGTTAGATTTGATAAGAAAGACAAACCATGAGGACTGTTGGCATAAATTTTATAACTGGCTCAGAAATAGAGTAGCTAATCTTAAAATCAGCTTTGCATAAGATTTTGGAGAAAGCTTCATGAAAATGATCCCAAATGCCAGCTATTATTTCAGTTTGACAGTGATGATGCCTTATTCCCTGAATGTCACATGAGTGTCCTGAGTTTTTGTGGTCATCTTTTCTGTGAAATGAAAAAAGAGGTTAGAAAATTTTACTACTTTTCCAGAGTTATCTTTGCTCTTGGGATCTCCATGACCTTCATAAACATCCCAGTAGAATGGTTTTCAATTGGATTTGATTGGACGTGGATGCTGCTTTTTGGAGACATTCGTCAAGGCATCTTCTATGCGATGCTTCTGTCCTTTTGGATCATCTTCTGTGGAGAGCATATGATGGTAGGGGTTTTGTACCATTTGTAGCCATTATGTATGAAGGTTGCTGTTTTTCCCCCTCTCTAAGAACCTATTTTATTAGCTGTTAGGGTGGGACATACTGTGTGCTTTCATCTGCCTGTGACCCTCTAGCAGTTGGGTTACAACTCCTATCATGCCTCGTCACAGACCGTGCTGGTATTTTAAATGGCTGATGGGAACTGGAGTCCAACAATGTCTGGAGGTCCATCCTGTTATAAAAGAAAGGCAGGCAGGCACCAAAGCACTATCTGTCATGGGACCTCTTGCTTATAGATGAAGTTAGATTTGAAGGAAGGAAGGCTATGCTCATATGTTCAGGAAAGGGGTGGCCAACTTTAGCAGGCTGGTTGGCCATATGTTGCCCATTACCACCAGCCACCAGTCACACCAGGTGCAGAAATGCTTGCAAAGTGTTGTTTAAATGTGAAAAAGTCTGAGCTGAAAGCATCCAGGCACACATGTCCAGTTTTGATTTCCTGGGTAGAAAGAGGATTAAGAGCTTGTTGGAATTTGTCTAGTTTTATGCAAAAATTGGCACTTGTAAAACCCAGTTTTGAGCCCCCAAACTTTTTTTCAGAGTAGATGGATGTGAAGGTTTCTCAGGAGGCTGCCTTGGGGTGGGGGAGATGCCCAAGGATGACACTTTTACCCAACCCTGGTTTAGGAACACAACTGCAATGAGATGATCTCCACTATGAGGCTTTTGGAACATCATGAAATATAGTGGCCTGTGGCTGATACAGAAACTTTCAAACGTATTCCTAATGGAAAGTACGGCATTTTTAGGGGATTGTTCTTGGAAGAAAGCGCTTCCATACAGATTTTATCAGATTTAGTTATTTACTGAAAACTTGTGTTTTGCTTTTATTTTCTAGACTGAATTGTTTTCAGATGTTAAAGAAACTAACACTGGATTTGAATTTAATTTTAAAGTAAAGCATGGGCCGCCTTTATCTGATCCAGGAGCGCTTCTCATGCCCCCTCTAAAACATGAGGAAAATGAAGTTGGTCTTTTAAAGGCACTCAGCCTTTTAAGATTCCAACTAGCCTTCCTTAGAAACTGGAAATGTTTTGTAATTTCTAGTTTGTTTGTTTTTAAAGGTTATTTCAGATCTAAAAATTGCATTTAAATGCCCTAGGTCACCCTTTAGCCACCCTTGATGTAAAATATAGCTCTTCCTGCTTAATTGACATGTGCTTCATTGTACAGGTGAAATAATTCCTCTTGTAATGTATTTGCTAATAATCCTTTCAAATGCCATCTTCTTTGTAATTTTTAGGATCAAAACGAACGAAATCGCTTCTCGGCATACTGGAAACAAGTAGGACCAATTGCAGTGGGCTCTTTCTGCCTCTTTGTCTTTGACATGTGTGAGAGGTAATGAAAGAGAGTTTGGGGTTTCTAATAATAATCATGTGTTTAGTTCTGCTTGGATTTTTTTCTGTTAAAAAAATTATATTTACAAGAAGACAAACTATGGCAGCACTGTGATCTCACCTACCAAATTATTTGTGCAGAGGGGATGGAACCTGAACCCAGTAGCTCTGTTTCATAATGTTGCTTGCCTTTCATGAGCATAATCCAGCGCTGGTGATGTTTCATCCCCTTAGGCAAAGCAAAAGCAACTTGTCCTGCTTATATACCATCCCATAGTGCTTAAAGCACTCTTCAGGCAGTTTATAGTTTAATTATGCAGACTACGCATTGCTCCCCCCACACCCATGAGCTGGTCACTCAATTTATCAATCTCAGAAGAATGGAAGGCTGAATCAAATGCAAGCTGGGTATCTGGGCCTGTTAAGATCAAATTCAGGTTGTGAGCAGAGGCTTGACTATAGTACTGCAGTTTAACCACTATGCCACAAGGCTTCTCAGTGAGCTCCTAAAATCTGCCAGTAGACAGTACACAAAGCGTTGACTACTACTGAAACTAGTGAGATCCTGCCTACAGAGCCCTTCCAGTCACCTATAATTTTGTAATAAGGTGGCCAACTGGTGGATGTGATGCTATCACACTATAGCCTGAATCCCGTTGCTTAGTATAGTAAATTGCACTCGATGAGGCCCATTGAATCAATGGGAATTTGGCGAGTCAACTCCAACATAAGCTCCATTGATTCAAACGCGTCTAGTTGCGATTTACTTCAGCAAAATAAACTGCAGTTAGAGTAGGCCCGTTTGAATCAGTAGAACTGATTTGGTGAGTCTGTTCTTCTGTAAGTTCTACTGATTCAAATGGACCTACCTGTTTGAATCAGTGGAGCTTATGGAAGACTTGACTCACCAAATTCCCATTGATTCAGTGAGCCTCATCGAGTGCAATTTACTATACTAAGCAACAAGGTGGGCCTACTCTAGTGCGATTTGCTATGCCAAGCAACATGATATTGAGCTTTTTGTGTTTTACTTGCTTTGTACTTGCAGCTGGCAATGTGGAGCAAAGGCAGGAAAGCACTGGATGGGATCATGGCACATGATGCATGTTGTTACTGTACATCATGGGAGAGAGGAATCAAATACGACACATGGATGCTATGTTTGGTTGCTTCCTGGTTTCTCTCACTTACAGTCCCTCCACAAGTCTCCATACATAACAAAAAATGAACATGGGCAAGGATCCATCCGTTTCCTTCTGCTGCATTGGTACTGGAAGGGAGACAGTTCCTTTCTCCCTCTTCCACAGTTCTCTGTGCATCCTCAGTATTAATATAAATTTATAGGCTGCTTTTTGAGCCAAGGTGTTCCCACAGCACTGTGCATGTTGAAATATATAAAATAAATGCTTAAGTAACACAGAAACAACCAAACATGTTCACATTCTTGGCATTGTATAGTGACATAAAACTATTTTTTAAACTATAGTTTAGATAGGTTTTAAATGGCTTCTTTGTGTTATGTTTAGCAAGATACTCTCAAATCTCACTCTAATGGCTCTTTTAAATTACAAGGGAAAATGTAGTTTGATGCTATCCTTTTGCTGTTTATAATTTGCTCTGCCAATTTCCTTCTACTTTCAGAGGAATACAATTAAAAAATCCGTTCTACAGTATCTGGACTACAGATGTTGGCACAGAGCTGGCTGTATCCTTTGTTTTTCACTTTAATGAGGCCATTGATTTGTTCTTAATGGTGGGGCAAGAGGAAAGACACCTTGAAGCCACAACTGCTTTTTCTTCAGGACTCTCTGAACCTGCTGTACAACCTTTTAACTCAAGGAAGGTGACACTACTAAATTGATAAAGCTTTTGATTTACATATGGTGGAGCATCATACATACTCTGTGTTCTCCACAATCTCACCTTTTTATGCAGATGTCATCACCACAGAAAACAAGGACTTGGTTTGATCGGGGGGTTGCTATAAGGTTTATTCTTATAAATTACCGCACATTTTATTTGTTAAATTGTGAAAATAACAATGAATGTTGAATGCTACTGCATTGCCTGTAGTCTAAACCCAGAATAGATAGACTCTCAGATATGTGCATCCAGTTGTGCTATTTTTCCCCCCTGGAACCTCCAGGTCCATCAAACAGACCTAAGTGTAAAACAGTGGCTCAGAAGGACAGGCGTATGGTGAGAAGTAATGATCATGCCATCCCTAATCATTCACCCAGCCCATGAACTTGTTTTTAATACCAGGACCGCGGCTGCTGCCTTTGTATACCAAAATTCAGGATTCTACCACCACCAGTACTTTTCCTTATTACAGCATCGTTCGGAGAGTTCTTGCAGTTGTTAAGCAGATGGGATTTTGCTAATCCGTTGAAACTACGTGTTGGTGTACTAATAGATCCCAACTTACCTGTTGCTTGCCCTAGGTATAATTGTCATCTTTTGTACACATTCTCTGTGCCTTTAGAGCAGAGCTGGGAAATCTTTAGCCATTTGGTCTCTTACTGTATGGGCTGTGAAGGCCAAGCTATCTGGATCTGTTGGGAGTTCCAGGCCAGAACATTTTGAAAGCCAGTAGTTCTCCATCCCTGCTTTTGAACAAGGCAGCATATTTACCAGAGGATGGCTTATATACATTTGCCACCCTGGCATAGATGTGTTTCTGCAGAATTTCAGTTGAACCAGCTTGTTCTTTAAATCACACATGTTGCTCTTTTATCTTGAGTTCTTTGTATAAAGTTGAGTTAGCATTAGTTCTACTTGTTGTTGTTGTTTAGTCGTTAAGTCCTGTCCAACTCTTTGTGACCCCATGGACCAGAGCACGCCAGGCCCTCCTGTCTTCCACTGCTTCCAGGAGTTTGGTCAAATTCATGTTGGTAGCTTCCATGACACTGTCCAGCCATCTCGTCCTCTGTCGTCCCCTTCCCCTCTTGCCTTCAGTCTATCCCAACATCAGGGTCTTTTCCAGGGAGTCTTCTCATGAGATGGCCAAAGCATTGGAGCCTCCAGTTCTACTTGTGGTGCATTCTAAACCTCTGATGATCCTTTCCTAAGCTAGAAACAGCTTCCTGACATTTTTGTGCATACCAGTGGAACAGAGGTGACCATCCACCTGACAACCTTAGTTTATTCTGTCGTTTCTCAGTATTTGCTCAATATTAAAGACATATCAAGAACCTAGCTGGCTGGATAGCTCAGTGGTTTAGGTATATGATTACAGAGCTGGAGCCCCACTGTGCCTTCAGGGAGAAGAACTGGTCTGTGTGGCCTTGGGCAAGTTGCACAGTCTCCCAGGGCATCCCCGGAAGAAGAGAATGGTAAACCATTTCTAAGTATTCTCTACCTAGAAGAGTCATCATGCTACGTACAGGATCATTTTGATGGCACACAAGTAAGAACCTAAAGGTCTGGGGAAGACTCAAAAAAGGGCCCTTTTTATGCTTCTGTAGTCTTACTGCCGATGTCTTACAAACAGAAGATTTCCCCCTGAGATCCTAATTAAATATAGAAGTGTATTTTGGTAATAGAGCAATCTGTTCCTATCATTCTCTTTGTGTATGCCCGATAAATACACCCTTAACTTCACTTCTCAGATGGCATTTATTATTGTTGCTGGAATCTGCCTCTGTCTCTACTTCTTGTTCCTGTGTTTTATGGTGTTTCAAGTATTCAGAAACATCAGTGGCAAACAATCCAGCCTCCCAGCAATGAGCAAAGCTCGTAGGCTTCATTATGAGGTAAGCGTGGGGAATATGTGTTTGTGGAAATGTTTTAAAAGAATGCTAATTTTCATTGGTATTGCCTACCAGTAAATGAAAATTAATTTTGTTCTTCAATTATTCTAAAAGCTATTTTATAACATAGTCTTGAGAAGAGGAGGTATGTTGTGACAAATAATATATATATTATACAGGCTTATTTTGAAATGTCCAAGAGATATGTAAAATGTCCAGTGCAACTTAGGTCTGGTGCAGAAGTGGTGAACACATAGTCAGTGATAAGGAGTTGTGGGAACCATAGTCTAAAATATCTGAAGGGCCAAAGGTCCACCATCTGTGGTCTAGTAGATAACTAACTAAATCTTTATCCGCACCTTCATTCATTTCAATAGAGGTGGAGCTCCAGATGGGAATCTGTTTGAAATGCAGGGTGGCCTCTGTTGAAGCTCAAGAGGGAGTTCACACATAAAGAGCATGTAATTTGAAGCTTCATTCAGGATGTGAGGTGTACTTCTTCTGGTACTTCTGGTAATATGACATACCTGAAAGAGCATACTATATAAATGTATTTTATGCACCCAGGGGTCTACCTCAGTCTGTGGAGCAAAAAGTGAAAACCAAGAATTTTTGGAGATATCAGAGGCTTTCTTAGAACTTTCAGTAGGAGACTGGTTGCCCAGCACAGATATATCCAGTCTTTCCTTGAGTGAGTCAGCCTCTTAAGTGCACTGAAAGATCAGGCCTTTTCCCAGTTAGCCTGATTGTTAAGGAGATTTGCCCTAGACAATCCCTGTTAGGTAAGGGTAAATACGGCTGTGACCATTTATACGTTGGTTGCATTTGTATACAAGTCACAAAATGAGTTTGAGAAGGAGAAACTTGGCTTTCACAGAACTGAGTATGGAAAGTCATAAAATACTGCCATAAAGATCTAGCACTAATGCCTCTTTTTCGGAAGCAGATACAAACCAGGGGCTGAAATGAAAAGCACCGGTTTCTGAGACAACCCTACAAAAGATGATTTCTGAGACAACCCTACAAAAGATGATAGATGCTGAAGGAGGATGAGATACTAGATAGTGTTGGCTAGAGATTCAAAACCCTTCTCTCTCTCTCTCTTCTCTCTCTCCTCTCTCTCTCTCTCTCTCTCACACACACACACACACACACACACACACACACACACACACACACACACACTTCTCTGTCTTATTCTTACACGCAAAAGCATATTGCTTATATGGATATTGCTTCTTAGCACAAACTATACTTTTGGAAACTGCAAATGGGAGTTTTATCAGAAGTCACTTTTTGTTTGTTTGTTTGTTTTTTGTCATCATCTCGATATCCCTATCACAGGATGTCTAGTTTGAAATAACTAGGAGAGTTTCTTTTGCTTATTTCCACTAGCCCTCCCCTTACTTGTTTTCTTTTTCTCTTTTTAGGGATTGATTTTTAGATTCAAGTTTTTGATGTTGATCACATTGGCGTGTGCTGGTATGACAGTCGTATTTTTCATTGTCAGTCAGGTGAGTATTCAAGCAATGACGCTAAGGGGAGTTTTTGCCACTGTCTTCAGACTTGTTGGAGAAGCTTACTTGTAATTTGGGTGAGGAAAGAGCATCTGAATCCCCACCCCCACCCTGGACTGTTGGGATCAACAGAAAGTGTCATTATTTAAAATATTAGCATACATCCATCTTCAGCCCATAATTAACGTTTGCTCAGATTGCTGTGCTCATCTTCAGATCATTATAGATGTAAGAGCAACTAGTAAAGCCATACACAGAATTGAGGAAAAGAAATACAGAATGCATGAGTTCCATATATCTGATGTTGGGATTTTCTTGTTTTCTTAGCTTCTTAATGTATTCTATCTTCAGTGCTTCATTATATTTACTCCTTCTGAATAGGTGACAGAAGGACATTGGAAATGGGGCGAATTCACCGTTCAAGTGAACAGTGCCTTTTTCACAGGAATTTATGGGATGTGGAATCTTTATGTCTTTGCTCTGATGTTCCTGTATGCGCCTTCACACAAAAACTATGGTGAAGATCAATCAAATGGTGAGATGAGATTTGGTATGGCTGTGATTTGCTTGGGGCTCAGTCCCCAGTAATTAAGTGATTGCAGAAAATATTTATTTATTTATTTATTTATTTATGTATGTATTTATTTATTTATTTATTTATTTATTTATTTATTTATTTATTTATTTATTTATTCGATTTTTTCACCCCGCCCCTCTAGACAACGTCTACTCGGGGCGGCTTACATCAGTGACCGGTCTTGTTTCCATTGTGGTCATGTAGTGGTGTAGCCCATCTGTATTACTCAAACAGTTTGTACTGGGCTGGAACAAATGTGTAAAAGTCAACCATTCAGATTGTGCATTTACTTCTGTGACAACCTTACTCAACATGGCACCCTCATTCTAGGCTAGACTAGGCAGTATTGTCAGTGCTTGGGGATGATAGACAGAGTTGTTGTCCAGCATGCATAGAATGCACGAGATTAGGAAAGGTTGTTGTGTCACATGGGTCAGGAGTTTAGGAGCATCTTCAGTTCACTAGATCCTGCCAGAGTGCACAAATTGCCTTGGAAAGTGAACAAACTCTTTAAAAAATAGTACTGTTTTCCAGGGATGAGGACTTGGGTCATAGGATTCAATTTCAAGTCGGAGTTAAGTTGCACCAGTGACTTGTCTTAGACTCAACTCAGTTTTTACTTTAACTGACTCAGACGTGACATGTGACCACCCACCCCTCACTTTTTTCTGGGGGGAAAAACTTATTTTTAACAGGTACTTGGACTCAGGATATGGCACCACAGACACGCCAACATCCCTGCTGTTTTCTAAAACCCTCAGAATGTCTCTGTGATTATGTTGGCACCAAAAGTTATCCTTTCATTTTAAAATGCAGCTTTGTATTTCCAGGTGATTTGGGAGTAAACAGCGGTGAAGAACTTCAGCTCACTACCACAATCACCCATGTGGATGGTCCAACAGAAGTTTACAAACTGGCTCGCAAGGAAGCCCAGGAGTAACTGCTAAAGCACTACAGACTCAAACTGTGGATAGGAGTTGTGAATGATGATGGTCCTTTCTTGCAAGGATAGGTCTGTTGTCATCCCCAGAATATCCAGCACTGACTGTGCATTTTCACAGAAAGAGAGCAGTCTAGAAAAAACAGATGGAAATGCTCATTGCTAATGGTGTATCTTTCTTTGGGGAGGGGCTTGCATAAGATCTGAACTCATTTCATGACACTCCTGGTTTTGCCTCACTTATTAACTCCAGAAGAGAGAGAGGGAGAGAGAATTAGAGAAAGGATAGGTACCCATTTCCATGTATGACCTCTGGGTCAGTCTCTCATTTTTAGCACATTTGCTGCTCCTGCTGCTATGGATATTCTTGAGAAACAAGTCTAAATACTTCACATGCTTCCTAAGTCAAGGTTTTATTCCATAGTCCTAATGTCTACATTTAGAACATTTTTTTTTGTTTTTTACGTGGCAAGTAGCCAGTTCAATTAATATTTACATAGTTAAGTAAACATAATGATTACTTCTTTTCTAGTCTAGTGTAACACTGCTTTTTGTAAACTTTTGGTACAAAAAGGGCATTTCAGCTTTAAAGTTGAACTGTATGTATGTATGTGTGTGAGTGTGTGTCCTGAACACTAACAAGTCTTTCTGATATTAAATATCTTTTTATATACTCTGAGGAATCCTGCGTATCTGTTTTATTCATCATCTGTGGGACCTGTGTGTGTGGTTCATAATCTTTTTCTCTTTTGAAATAAATCTTCCCCACTTAAAAAGCAAACAAACAAAAACAGCTGTGAATAAAATACACCCATATTGTGGCTTTTCCTGACCTCCTTTTGTCAGGAACCAAGATGCAGCTGTGTTTCAAGCTATCCTCTGGTAGAAATCATGATGACCATTGTAAAGAGAATGCTGACATCTGCTGGGAACCAGATGCACTTCATGGGGCTGTCACTGACACAGTTGCAAGTATGCATCAGCCGAAAATGAGTAGCATACAGTCTTTAAGACCATTGTTCTTGAACATAGGCTCTCCATGCAGACAGTAGACTGGCTTGGATTTCTGCAGATGTGTCCTTGGCTTTGCCCAAGAAATGCAGTCCCCTCTGTTTACGTGGAGCAGAATTTCATGGAATAAACAGCAATCTATTTCTCAGCAAAACAAAAGGTTGAATTTAGGTCTCTCACTTAGGTTAAAAGTCCAATTATAGCCAAATTGATAATCATACCTTGTGGTTGGATGAAGTCAGGAGGGTTTGCAAAGTTTTGTTTATATTTGCCATCAAGATATTTCCAACTGATCCTTTGAATTGACCTAAAATCCTGCTCCCATTAACAGCCATGATAACTTTTTGCAGCCTAAAGGCCACCTTAAATTTTTTGTAGCTGTGTTTTTTTCTAATGAGTTTTGTCCCCTCGTGATAATGTTCAGCATCTTAAAAAGCAGAGACATCACCTTACCGACAAAGGTCCGCACAGTCAAAGCTATGGTTTTTCTTGTAGTGATGTATGGAAATGAGAGCTGGACCATAAAGCTGATCACCGAAGAATTGATGCTTTTGAATTGTGGTGTTGGAGGAGACTCTTGAGAGTCCCCTGGACTGCAAGGAAACAAACCTATCCATTTTGAAGGAAATCAATCCTGAGTGCTCACTAGAAGGACAGATCCTGAAGCTGAGGCTCCAATACTTTGGCCATCTCATGAGAAGAGAAATCTCCCTCGAAAAGACCCTGATGTTGGGAAAGCATGAAGGCAAGAGGAGAAGGGGACGACAGAGGATGAGATGGCTGGACAGTGTCATCAAAGCTACCAACATGAATTTGACCCAACTCCGGGAGGCAGTGGAAGACAGGAGGGCCTGCCGTGCTCTGGTCCATGGGGTCATGAAGAGTCGGACATGACTTAACAACTAAACAAGTAATGTTCAGACATGTACAAGGTTTCAGCCTCCATTTTGGAATTTCAGTTTAAACTATACAACCAGAGTTTAACTTTAACATCTGGCCTTTATGATTTCGGGTACTTTTTTGTTTCTTTCTCACACATCTCCTAGCTCTGTCATCCCTACACAGGTGAAGACTCCTGCAGGATGTGAAAGCTAGCCTGTTTTTGCATTACTACTAATAAAGTATCACCAACCTTGTTTGGTGGTTGTTGTTTTCCATGAGGACCACACAGATTGTTTTTGTTTTGTTGAATTCTCAACTGTATCATTCTAGAGTCCCAGTTTTATGTGGTGTTTTATATATGCCTCCTTTCAACTGTGAAGAGCAGTTTTGGCTTGATTAGCAGAAGCTGCAAAAAATCAGAATAACATTACCTGTTCATGGGATTTAATATGCATGCAGTTGTTCCAGGTAATGGTCATTATGGGTACTGAGCTCAGTGGGGATCATAGGTCATGATACAGCGCTTGGAAAAGTTACTTTTTTGACCAGTGGCTGTTCTGGCTGTGGGATTCTGTGAAGTGTCCAAAAGTACTAATTTTTCCAGGGTTAGCTGTGAAGAAAAAAAAGTTTAAAATCATGTTATGCAAAACAAATACATTAAAGAGATTATGTATAGTCACCAGAGGCATCTATGCATAGAAATAGCTTTAAGTAATTATTCGACACAAAATTCTCATGTTCGCCCATAAGAATAAAACATAATCCAAAAGATGCAGATAAACAATGCCTTTGTTAAAATCAGCTATAAATGTGCAAAACATGCACGTTTTTGATTTGGGTACAATTCTTTCTCAAACTAGGGAAGGGCAAAAGACACTGAACTCCAAATATTTGGCTGTGTGTTTCAAACCAAGAAGAACTCCAGTCAAACTTAGTCCCAGATCGGAAAGACAGAGCCATGGATATTTCACCTGACGGTAGATAGTTGGCATCATTATTGTTAAATCACTGTAGACAAAATGTTGCAGTATGCAGGGTTCTAAATAGTCATTCCACTTTCCAGGATATATTACTATTAGGAGGTTCTTCCTTTTTCTGAAGTGTCTGTAGAGCCACTCCTGCCATATATGAGTTATGTCCTTTTGTCTACATAAGTGGTACTCCACCAGAACATTAGACATTAAGAGAAAGCTTTTAGCTGAAAGCAGATTACAGGGTGATGATGCAGAAGTAAGGCACATGTTTTTAGGGTTTTGCAGCTATATACATGGTTTGCTCTTTACAGGACACTGCTGGAGTTAGCAGGTTACAACCACCACCACCACCACCACCTATGACATTAGATTTCTTGCTTAAACCAGAACTGCAGCCACAATATCTCCTACTCTTTGAACATCCCTTCTGATTGCTTTGTTCTTGCTTGTGTTTTTTAATGAGCCTTGAGTTATGTTCTGGTAGTGGGTGGCAAAAGAGGAGCAAGTGAAAGAGCCAATGGAAAAAGAGGACCAGAACCTGCAGCAGTTTTCAAGTTGTAACCCAGCAACTTCTTAGGGAAAAAAAGAGGCAATACTACCTTGAAAATATCTGGTCCCACTGAATTTTGAAAGCTAGAATCAGTGTTGCTTAATAGATGGGAAACAATCCAAGAACACCAGTGGTTTTTAGGCAGGGGCAGGGCTAGAAAATAATCATAGCTTGAAATGGAGGACCATTGCCAATCAAGAGTTCACAATACTGGGCTGGATGCACCAGTGTTCTGGCTCGGCTTTCTATTAGGGGAACAAAAAAAGTTTATTGATAAACACTGTGCAGTTTTTGTTAAAAGGATATTCTTAATCAGGGGGAAAAAACGGTTCAAAGAAAGCTCTTTTAAAATGTGGGTGTTTAGCTCCTGCAGTGAATGACTAATAGTCTTCCAATACTACAAATCTGTTATGCAAATCTATGAGAATTTATCCTAGCTCTGGTCTTCATCCACTGCAACAATATCCTTGGTTTTTGGAACTGTCAGGATTACCATTCAAAAAACAGAATACAGCTTATTGCTCTTCAAGATATGTAAAATCCAGCCCCCGCCCCCGTGATACAAACTGACGACCACTAGAGTTTACTATTGTATAACTGTCTGCAGTGGGGAAGGGAAGCCACTGGTGTCTTAATCAGATTGCCTTTTGGTTACGCGTAACAAGGTGGAACTGTGTGGAAAAAAAACCAGCAATCTGACTCTAAAGGGAGAGTATATCGATACGTGCATGTGTACATCAAAAGGGTAGAAGTTGCCTGCAGCCTGTTGTCAACGAGTGGAAACAATTTCTGTTCCAAAGAGGCGAGAGAGAGACTTGCAGTCACCATGGTTATGGACTCCCATTCTCAGGAGAGAACACTACCAAGCACATTAATTTGCATTGATCGTGACCAGACTTTTCAGAGCCCACAGTTTCCTTAAGCCAGCTGATCAGAGTTGCTTTCAGCTACTGCCAAAAGAGGAGCAGGAGATGCACAAGCTGAAGATAGGGGTCCCTTGACTGGATGGCAGGTTTTGAGGTTTATTTAACCGGTAGCACATTGGTGCACCATCAGTCTAAGCCCAGTTGCATTTAGTTCTACCCTAAGGGCTCTGGAATTTCCTTGTAAGAACTGCAATCAGCTGTTTGCATGCACAGGAACAACTAAAGAAAAATATCAAAGAAGTGTTGTTAAAGATCGCTTTTCACTGTTGCATCTCCATCTGAAGTCTCTCTTGTTGTCCATGCTATACCATATGCTCTTCATGCCTGGTTAATGACTGGGATCTTCATTGGAGCTGTTAGGAATGAATGTGGCTGATAGTTTCCCACATTAGTGGTCTGGGCAAGATGTCTTGATTGCCCCCTTTAAGTGAAAAACAAAGGAAGAAGTGACTGCTTTCAGTTCAATTCCACCTTATATAAATATAGGTCACTGTATAAGAACAGCAGGATCTTAATTCCATATTTATGCTAAAAGATAACTTAATGCTGTTTGCAAACAGGCGAATTGCATTGCTGTGCAGGTAGTGAAAATGAGAGTACAAGGGGTTAAAAGAGGCTTGGGGAACATGTAACATGCAGGTAGTGAAAATGAGAGTACAAGGGGGGAACATGTAACGTTCCAGAAGATAATGTTGGCCTGCAATTCCCACCATATCTAATGATGTGAAATGATGGGAGTTGTAGTCCAATGACATCTGGAGCAGGTAAAGTAGGCAATTCTCCCAATTAGGCAGAGTAGGCAGCCTCTGCCCAATAAAACAGATCCCTACAGTCTGCATCTCAATGAATCTGGTGATAAATCTCATCTGCTCAAATAGTTCTGAACTGCACCGCTGGCATAAACAGCCTTCTAACTGAGATAAGTCCCTCATGACATCTGCCTCCTGTTCTTGTTCCAATATTAGCTGCGGATTGCCTCTGACTAGCATGTTGCCTTTGATGAACTGACTTTCAGCTGCTGGGGCTTCGTGACATTTAGAGATGAACTAGGAAATATATTCCAACACAGTAGGTGGGAGCCTGTTTGCCTATGTTGTTACACGGTTCATTTATTTTTGATTTTAATATATATGTATAGAATATAAAATTATATATATTCTGCATATGCCTGCATCTCTGTATTCAAATCTTTACTAGGATGTTATTTAAAATCAATGCCTCCTTATTTGAAACCAAGTACAATTTAGAAAGCTACTTTTCCACCATATGTATGATTATAGCACTCTGGTAAACCACCAAGAATAATAAAGGAGTTGCTAGACACAGATTCCTGA